AGGAAAGTCTTCCATAGAAAGTCAAATTTCTAACACAATTCGGTAAATTGCAAAACTAACTTGTTTATCTGAGAAGACTTTTAAGAAAGTTTACTCTCTTTTTTTTTTGTTTACGAAATATAATTTGGAAGACTTCTTAAGAAGCATTCTCTAAAAAATACATAGAAAGTCAATTACCAAACTAACCTATGCATTGACGAGAAGACTTCTAAGAAATTTTTCTTTGCAAAACAGATCTAAATAAAATCAAAGATCATTCTTATATCTAATAAGGTTCATCTTTAGTTTCTTCAACCACACATAACCTTTTGTTCATGGTGGTTGATGTATCGAAGATAATGGAAATATTGTAAATAAAAGAGGAAGGTGAGGAGAATTGAGTAAAACAAGCAATTTTGAAAAAAAAACAAATTAAAAAAAAACAATGGAATTTCCTGAATAGTTCACACTCGGCGAGCAACAATGAACTGTGGAGTGTGTGTGAAAGGTGAAACATATTTCTATGGAATCTTACAAGAGATCATCGAAGTGGAGTTCCCCGACATGGAGCTGAAATGAGTTCTCTTCAATTGTGACTAGTTTGACCCCACCGTCAATAGAGGTGTCTGGGATAGCAAATTTGGTGTTGTTGATATAAATTCTACAAGGAGGTACAAAAAATTTGAACCTTACATATTGGCTTCTCAAGCATACCAAATTTGTTTTATTCCATACCCGAGGATCAGACAATTTGGAAATACATTGATTAGCTGCTATAAAAATTACCCCTCAGGGCCGAATATTGACTGATGAACAACCACCTTTACAAGAATATGCTGTAAATGAAGTAGAAGTACTTGAGCAAGATACTGATGATATCTTACTTGTTGATCTGCATAATCCGGGACATGAAGAACTTCTAGAGGATGCAATTACGAACGAAGCCAATGAAGATGAATTTGAAGAAAATGATGATGTGGATGATGTTTCTGATAACGAGTGATCGAGTTTGATTATGTTACAACGTTTGTGTTTTGTTCTATTGTTAAACTTGTTGTATTGTAATATATATATAATTTATGTTTGCAAAATTATGAACTTATTTTAAAATAAAAAAATAGTCTTCTTTGTAAACGTAGGCAAAGTTGTTTACTCGTAATAGTACCACTCATTTACGACTAATTTCATATTCTAAGCTATTTAGTCGTAAAGTTACCACTTCTTTACGACTAATCTGAATATATTCGAAGCTAATTGGTCGTTATTTTGCATCTAAAGTCGTCTTTAATTGGTCGTAATAGTTTTTGAAATCTCCTATAAATACTCACCATTTTGGTTTTCTGATCAATGGAAAAATTTAAGAATCTTTGAGTTTCAGATTGTTAAATATATCTTCCATAGAGATTTATCAGACGCTTGGGGATTCCTCCCAAGAAACTGAATTTTCAATTGAATTTTCAGTTTCTTGGGTTAGATTCTCAACATCTGATAAATTTTTTAGGAGATATATTTGTAGCAATCGAATGTTTTTTGTTTTGTTTTAGTTTTAGTTCTAGTTTTAGGTGGTTAGTTAGGTGATAATATTAAGAAACAAATGGTAATATTACGATGAAATTAGAAAATGTTTAGATTATATATATTTTATATAATAAATTTGAATTGTTTATGACCATCCATATTTTTTTTCAGATTGACGATATTGCTATGGCTAGCGGTAGAAAGAGACTTAGGAACCTTGCGCCTATAAACTCTTATGGGACTACCTTTTTCGGTCAGTCGTCGAATCAGTCAGCTAATACCTCCGGCACATCATCCGGCCAAGACAATGTCCCTGAGAACCAAATTCCTAGTGTTCCGTATGTGCTTACACAAGCATACGACAATGTAGCTCCATACTATCCACAGTATGATGATCCTGCTGCATACTTTTCATATGATGTGCCTCCACAGAAGCCTTAATATGATCAGCAGCCTCTGTAGCAAGATCCACAACAGCCTCCGCACCAGCCTCCACAGCATCTTTCACACCAGCCTCCACAGCAGCCTCCGGCTCCTGCAGATGCTCCGGCTCCTGCAGCTGTTCATCCAGATTTGATGGTGCCACCGAATGCATCATATGCAAGATATACAGTGGAAGACATTCTCTGGATGTCGGAACGAGAAGGTTTACAAATCATCGATCCAAATCGACCAACCGGCACGTTTTGGTAATTAATTTTTTAATAAATTAAATTAAGTTTTAATTTTATATATAACAAATTAATTATATATATTGGTCTAAATATATGTATTTTCAAATTTTGTAGGTTTTTGACAGACAATTGTGTGGGACAGAGCGTTTGGGATATCATTAGGGAAAACTTCTGGGAAGCGCATCCGAACTGGTCTCTTACACTAGACCATGTTCGCGTTACTTGGTTCAAATGTTTGGCGGTTAGTTTTAAATATAATTTTATTTATTTTTGATTTAAAAATTAATAATTTGATTAATTAATTAAGGTTTATTCATGATTTTTTTATAGCAAAAATGAATTGGTCCATTGGTGTCAACGAAAAGGTGAAGGAAGCGTTGTACAAAAAGGCGATGGCTCGCCTAAAGAACATTATTGGTGATTGGAAGGAAAAAAATGGAGGGTTATGGGGGATGACGCAAATGAAACCTACCTCAACAATGAAATTTGGAATGAAGGCTTATTGGAATTTGCATGCGTCAGTACAAAGGTCTCTCAAGTGCTCTTTTGTCCGGATGACTCGTGATGCTGAAGGTAACCCGCCAATATACATCATATTTCTGAACAGATTTCACACGTCGGGAGGGCACTGCAAATTGTAAGTCTTTCAAATTTCTTATTTTTTATTAAATATTGAACGTGTGAGTTTAATTAATTTGATTTTTTTAATATAGGCTGCCAAAGAAGGAGCGCCCCCATCTGTGGACCGACTTTACAAGACATTACACGAGCACTCCGATGGCACTTTTTCGCATCCTCAAGCAGAGAAAATCTACAACGATGTAGAGGCTCAGATCCAGGAGGTCCAGACTTGTTATCGAAACAAAATCCGGAAGGTGCACCGGTCCATCTTTCCACCATCGAACAAGACAAAAATTTTGAGCAGGTAAAATATTCGATCTTTTAAATTTATGTTTACATATATTTTTCAATTTTTAATTTAGTTTTTACATATGTACTAATTAATTAATATTCATTCATTAATTGAAGGTTGTCCCGAAGAGAATGAGACATATAGTTGGGATCGGGACTGTGAACGATGTCCCGAGGGCGAGAGCTGAACATGCTGCAAGAATGGAAGAAGATCCCTCTCTCCGGAGGGATTTGGCAGCTGCCAACCTAGTCATAGCCGAACACAAGGACAAATTTAAGGCTATGGCATATATGTTCGATCTGATGATAGAGATAACCTTGAACGTAGACCCGTCCGTTGCCTCTGCGTGGCAGGCTCTACGTCCGAGCTTTAACCCCAGCCCCACTCCGAAAGAGCAGGCATATTTAAAGCAACGTGTGGATCAGATTGGTTCCGATCTGTTCGAAGAAATAAACCTTAATGTTTAATTTTCGGTTTTAATTAATTTGTATTTTTAATATTTTATATTATTGATATTATTATGTTTATGGATGATGATTAGATATTTTTTCTAAATTTAGAAAATTTTAAAAATTAAATTAAAAAATATACTTTAATTAAAATATAAAATTCAAAAATCTATTCATCAAGACGTAAATTAGTCTCAAATTTACGACCAATGAACATCTACAGTAGATGTAACGTAGTCGTTAATCTACGACCAGTTTACCTCTACTTTCGATGTTCTTTAGTCGTAAATGTATGACCAATTGACCACTAATATGTAGATGTAATTTACGTCATTGTTACGACTAGACATTTACGTTTAACTTACGACTATTAGTCGTAATATTATGACCAAAGTGCCTCTAATAAGAATTTACGGCAAGCAAATAACGACTATTTGATTTTAGAAGTTAATTGGTCGTAATACCCATATTACGACCAACTAAAGCTATTATAACTGTAGTCGTTAAAGACATGTTTTCTTGTAGTGTATAATTGTTCCCATTTTAGTACACAAACTTTGTTTATTTTAATTAACATATTAATAAGTTTCAAATAAAATTTTAACAAAACTCTAAAATCTAAGAAAAAATATTTAACATTTCTAATTTTACTTGAAGATTTAAGAAAGAAGTTACATAAACTCTGGAGAAAATTTTAAAGTTTAAAAAACTAATTTTTAAGGAAATTTTTTTTTTTTATTTATTTCAGAAAACATACTAAATTCAATATTTAAAACTCAATAAATTTATAAAATATAAAATAAACTTAGAATTTATTTAAGTTTAGAGATTTTTAAAATTTCATTTAAAACTTATTAATTTATTTTATTAAAATAAAAAAGGGTACTGAAATGGACATAGTTAACAAAAGTTTGTGTATTAAAATGAACAAAATAATTAGTTAAAGTATTAAATTGGGTAGGGAAAATTGGATATTAAAAATCTTAACGAAATTTAATTAGAGTATTTTTATAGAATTTTTGCTTAATAAAATGAAACATATTCATGTGCGGGTTAAATTCTAATATTAATTCTAGTAGATACTTAATACAAAGTCTAGATGAAGAGTAGTTTCATATTCTGTCGATTTAAGTCTATATAGATGATAGAAATTAGTTGCACAAAAATTTTCTTTTTTATAAAATAGAAAAGAAGATAGAATTCAAGAATAAAGTGAATTTTTAGTCAAAAAGAATATGTTAAACTAATTTTCAACAACTTTTACAGAAACAAAACATGAACGTAAGCTTAATCAAACCACATTTTCTTCTGCAACTTGATCATTAAACAAAATGAGAAACAATCAACAATTGTGTTTCTTGGTTTTGTTGGAGGCAATTAGCGAGACAGCAACTTTTGAGAACTTAAAGTAGCAGAGGGACAGAAAATGAGACTATTAGCTATTCTCATGGTTGTATAAAAATGGTTTCAAAGACACAAAGCTAAAAGTGAATGCATAGGTTAGAAGTGCACCATTGTCAGCTACAAACACAAGACAAACGCATACATCACAGTGACATACAAAAGAAAGGAAACCAGTACAAGATCGAAGCCGCTTGTCTCATGAGTCACTCATCAAAGAGTAGCCTAAAAGAGTTTGCAATCTAAGAGACAGTTACAAAATAAGCTTAATCATCTACAAGAAACATGACATACTAAGTAGTAACTAAACATAACCTGATTCATTCCCTTAAACCTGTCTCATGAATAGGTAATCAAACGGTAACAGAACTAGCATACACGAAATTGTAAGACTTGGGTACTTTGAGCACAGCATCGAACCACTCAACCTTTCCCCAAACCTCTTCACTGCTGCGCATTTCCAGAGAAATCTCAGCACACCAAATCATCTTCTCCTTATACCCACCACGTGCAGGCACATACTTATCCCAAAACACCATCATCTTACCACCACATTCAACCAAATTAACATTACTATAATGGGCAAACTTAGGCATTCCTTCCAAACCCTCCACTTTCTTCCAACCATCTAATTCGGTTCCATGGTTAGACCAACGAAACTCTCCATTGGGTTCATAACAATAAAATCTTTTCTCTATAGAACAAATAATGTCTGGCCCTGCCAAGTCCACTGTAGCATCCTTTAGCTTTAAAGCCATAACCCTCTTACCAGAGTCCGCATCAAAGTTCTTGTAAACCTTTCCTTCATAATCCGTGGCTCTGAATATCCTCTTCTCGGGAGGCACGGGTTTCCAAGTTTGTGTCTTTGCGTTGAACACTTGAACACAATTCAAAGAATCTGGAGTCTCGTTGCTTCCTGCTAAATACATCATCATCATATTCAACCCTCCATCGGTGTGAGCTAGCCGCAAGATTGGAGTTTCAACCCACGTGTGCGTTCGACAGTCGAGGAAGAAGACGCTAGAAGAGCAGGAGGAGGGATCATCTTCTTCTTTGTTGATAGCGTAGAGCTTATGACCAACAGCTACGAGGTTTGACCATTCCACGGGAGGAGAGTTGAGAATCTGAACCGGAACCAAAACATTACCACTTGATGACTCTGTCTCCTTCTTCTTACAGATTTGATTGGTTAGGGTTTTGTCGGGTTTACGACAGAGAGTGAACCAACGATGGTTAGACTCGGTAGGGAACTGTATACAAACATAGAGACAGTTCTCGGTGCGGTTCAAGAGATACCGGGTCTCATGAAGCTCCGGTGAAGAAGTGAGTGATCGAAAGGTCTTGGAGACGAGTGAGAGAATCGGGTAGTGCAATCTCGAGACCCGAGCTAAGCAACTCAATACTAATTCATCTGGAAGTTGCATAATTGAGGTCGGTTCTGTTGCCGGCTTCTTCGACGGTGCTTCTTGGTCGGAAGCGACGACTGTGGACGACATTGCCAAATTCGCCACCACCTAACCAAAGGCTCCACTCCTCTCTCTACAAGAATACTCGGGCACGAGAGCTATACGCGTTGAGTTTGCGCGTGACACAACATTATCCAATTATTGGGCTTTGTTTTAATGGGCCTCGTTTTAAAGGATGGTTTTATGGGGTGAGGGGGGGGGGGGGGTAAGTACGC